TGCCACCACTTGTGGACCAAAGTTCATGCCTTTGAGTTCTGAAACATAGTTTATCTTTGTTCTGCAGTGTGTGTGTGTGTGTGTGTGTGTGTGTGTGTGTGTGTCTGTGTGTGAAAGAGAGATTTATTTTCTGTGAATGTATAAGCAGAGAGAGAGAAAGAGAGAGAGAGAGAGAGAGGAGATTTATTTTCTGGCATGTATAAGCTGCTCCAAAGCTCAGCCATGAGGGTGCCCTGTTACCTTGGCTCCCACTCAAGTTTAGCTGGTAAATCTTCTCTGGAGAAAAATGAGCAGTCAAGAGGCCACAATTCTGCCTTCAGGTCTGCTACTATTCCCTTAGCAATTCTGAGGCTTTTACTCATTTTTGAAATTTGGGCAATCTCACATTTACTTATTTATTCTCTCCACAAAACTTAGAGCTCTCTAAAGCAGAAACTTCTCTAGCAGTCATTGAATTCTCAGTGTCTAAAATAGTGTCTGGTATATAACAGACACTCAATAAACACTAAACTAATGAATAAATGACTGTCTGGGTTTCCTTCCAGTTACAACATAGCATGATTCCATAAAATTGTGATCTAGTGCATTGAGTTGATGCCTATGCATGTGGCAGATAACGCTGACTCGGCTTTCTTTTTTCTCCTGCCCACTGTTGAGACACCTTCATGAACATTTCCACCAGAATGTAAGTAACATATACAAAAGGAGATGGTTTGAGATTTGCCAAATTTTCCTCTTCTCTAGCAGTACCAAAGATGGTTTGGAAAAAGAAGAAAGTCTTCATTTGAAGTGTTGGTGATCTGCTGGTTTTATTTACACAGGGTGTGCCTGTCAACCACTCCCATCCATAATTGAGGCATGGCCACCCACAGCACCTGTCATCAAGGCCTCTACTCAGTTCCTCTTGGTGAAATAAGGTGAAGAGAGGCCACTAGCTAACAATGTGTGAAAGCTTCAAGTGACATGACAGTCACTCCAGATCTGGAAGGGGAAATGACAAAAGAAGACATTCTGGTTTTTTGTTTGTTTGCATGTGCATGAGTCAGGGTTCTTGGTTGTAAATAAGACACTCACTGTGGCCAACTGAAGCAGAAGAATTTAAGGATTTCAGCTACCACCAAATAAAAAGGATATCATCACTGGTTCCACCAGTACTGCTAGGTACTGCCAGTCTCTGGAAACCCACCCACCAAGATGAAGTTTAATGTGTTTCTGTCTTTGCATCACTTGATCAAGATGCAAAGTTCCCAACAGGAGAATCTCATTGGCCAGATCACACACTGCCCTAGCTGTGACGGGCTGGGAGACCAAGTATCTGGCCCCCTTATGCTCCACGGTGGGAAAGAAGGTCCTAAGACTCTCACAGTGATGGAATGCCCCAATATAAAGAATGTTTACATGCTGATCAGCCACAGAAAAACGAGAAATGTCCACTGCATCACAGTTTAATAGTGTAGCATTATTTATAGAGATGGGTAAAACTCAGTCTATATATATAGTCATACATCCAGTGCCCTAAGTGGGGCAGGTTTATGATTAATGGGCATAGGCTTGTTAGGAATTCTTGCTCGAAAGGCTGAAAATTGGCTGGGCATGGTGGCTTACACCTGTAATCCCTGCACTTTGGGAGGCTGAAGCAGGCAGATAACTTGAAGACAGGAGTTTGAGACCAGCCTGGCCAACATGGTGAAATCTCATCTTTACTAAAAATACAAAAATTAGCCAGGCGTGGTGGTGCACACCTGTAACTCCAGCGACTCAGGAGGCTGAGGCAGGAGAATTGCTTGAACCTGGGAGGCGAAGGTTGCAGTGAGCCAAGATCACGCTCCTACACTCTAGCCTGGGCGACAGAGTAAGACTCTGTCTCAAAAATAAAAATTAAAAAATAAAGGCTGAAAATTTTACCAGCCAAAATTAAATTTGAACCAGTTAGCAGTTTCCTGGTACTTTGCCCATAACAATTTTAAAAGTTATGGTTGAGCACAGCATGCTAGTGGCATATCACAAAACTTCTGCTGCCAGCATAGACGAACCCAGGTGTACTTTCTCCTTAATCGAGTTTCCATTTTCCCCTTCTAACCCCTTGAAAGAACAAGATGACTCCATGCTTTGATTCTTCCTAGTCTAGTAGTGACTCTGGAACCCCAGGAACACAGCTTATAGACTTTAGCCCCAGCTTCCCACAGATGGGTTTGGAGGCCGAGTATAGGAAGGGCCAGGGTCCATGCTGGGAAATTGCTTGGTTCATGATGATGATCCTCAAGGCAATAAACAGGACTGAGCCCTGCAAAGGAGCTGGCCTGACTGCAGAGGGCAAAAGCAGAGGTGTGAGTAGGTAAAGTGGAGTCACAGCACGAGGCTTCTTCATCCAAGCAAGGACATCAAATGTTGCAGCACCTTCACTTTCAGGAATCTAATTCCACAGTGTTGTGACATAGGAGAAACCAAAGTGTCTTCTCCTACTCTCACACAGCCAGCACAATTTTAACACTAGATGTGGGGGGGATGTTTCCCCACAAACCAAGCAATTCTCCAACAGACACAGGCCGGGTGTCCTTCAATTCAATTCCGGCACTGTCTACCTGGAAACAGTCTTTGGTCCCACAAGACTGCCCCCCATTTCAGATGCCAATCCCACATAGTAGGTTGTTTCCTGTACCTCTGATTGCCCAGCTATAAACTGGAATTCCCCCCACCCCCTCCTTGTTCGGACTAATTTGCTAGAGTGGATCACAGAACTCAGTGAAACATTTTACTTCTGTTTGCCCATTTATGACGAAGAATATTACAAAGCATACGGATGACAGTGAGATGGAAGAGATGCACAGGGCAAGAAATGTGGGAAGGGCCGTGGTGCTTCCATATCCTCTCTGGGCATGCCACCCTCTAGGAACATGATGTTCCGCTCTCCAGAACTCAACAAACCCTGTCCTTTGGGCTTTTGTACAGGCTTCATTGCATATGTCTGATTGATTACATCATTGGTCATTGGTGATCAACTTAACCTTCAGCCCTTCTCCTCTCCCCGGAGTTTGGGGGAGATGTGGGACTAAAAGTCCCAACTCTCTAATCCTGCCTTGATCTTTTTGTTGATCAGCCCCCATCCTGAAGCCATCTATGGGCTCCAAGTCACCAATCATCTCAATAGCATGCAAAAGGTATTTTCATCACTCTGGAGATTCCAAGGAATTTAAGAGCTTTAGGTCAGGAAACAGGGACTATAACCAAATATCTATTTCACAATATCACACACAGATGCACCTGCACAAGTACATACTAATCTATGTACAGGGATATTCACTGAAGTATTGTTGGCAACCACAAAAAAAAAAACTGGAATATATCATTCACATATGATTATATCAGTTTAATATATTGCTGTATAATCATACTATGAGACAGAATGCAACTGTAAGAAAGAGGTCATATATAAGTGATATGATAATGTTGATACATTAAGTTAGAAGAGCACGTGACAGAATAGTTTGCATACTACTATTCCATTTTTTTAGACGGGAATATACAAATAGTCTTGTATATGTATAGAAAGCACTGGAAGGGCAACCTAGGAACTATGGGGACTTTCTGGGGAGGGCAGCAAGGAGAGACCTTTACTTTTCATTCCTTACCCTATTTCCGTTTTACTATTTACTGTGTGTATGCAGTCTATTTATAATTAAAACAAACTGAGATGCCAGAAAAGTGAAGCACAGCAAGAAAAAGGAGTCAAGGGTCAAGAAATAATTTTTCCTCAAAAGAGGCTTCTCTCAGTTAAGAACACTTCTTAGCTGTACTCAGAGAATGTGAAGACCCACAGGGAAAACAGTCCGACTGTATCTTTCCTTAATGTCGCTCAGAGCCAGGCCTCTACTCACCTGGTGAGGGCCTGGGTCTGTCTCCTGCCCTGGCATTTGGATGTGATCTGAGAGGAGCGAGTCAGGTAAAGGAACCTTCTGGACCTCAGACGACAGGCAGTTTTAGCAGGTGTCACTGAGGTAGAAATTCCCCCCCATCCAACCCCCTACAAAAGAGCCAGCAGTTATTAAAAGCATGGGACTGGAGGGGGGCAGACTGGGTTTATGGCCCTGTTACAGTGGTGGTGATGCTAACAGTTAAAAGGCCATGGAAGCTTGTTTCAAACTAATTGGCCCTGTAGAATAGAAAAAAAAAAAAAATGACCCTACTAATGACGCTAGGTAATTCTGTCTTCTGGGTTACAGCAAGCAGCCCCCAGAATGGCCTTTATTGAAGCCTTAGTGACAAGAAACCTGCAGGGCAGTAAGGGGGGCCTGCTTGGAGAAAGTCCCCAAAAGAGAGGAGCTCTCCCTAACACTCCAATGACATGGGAAAATTTTAATCACACAAAATTCCCTGGAAACCCAGCCACCCCCGGCTGCAAGAGAAGGCCTAGAGATGCATCGACCAGAGCCGGCCTCAGGCCACAGCTCTTCTTCCCCATGCTGAGGGTGCTGCTGCTCGCCTTCACCTTGACCCTGTATCCCCACCTCCCACTGCCCCAGATCTTCCAGGCCGAATGTCCACGCTCCTCCTCCACTCTTCTGAGCTCTAAGAGCTAACTCCACTGTGTTCAGCGTATGGAAAAGTGAAGAACTGAACCCCTTCCACCCCTGCCTCCCTAGGCAGTCTGTAGAGCGCTGCTCTACAGATTGAGCCCTGATGCCAGTGTCCGGGAGGCGCGTAAATGCTTCCATTTTGATCCTTCCACCGCAAAAAATGCCGGGTTTAGTCTGGGAGACACTCAGACCCCTCGGGACAAGGGTGGCTAGAGGGAGGTCCAAGCTGCTCTGGGTGGGTGGGGAGTCAAGGCAGGCCAAAGCTTCAGATTTAGGCAGTAACCACCAAATCCGACCTGGGCTGCAGGTCCAAGGCCTCTTCCTCTTTCCTGCATGCTCCGCTCTGACGCTGGCCCATCTTCCGATGTAACCCCTACAACAACTACCATGGCAAAAAGGCCTCTCCCAACTCCATCCTCATGGCCCGGATCCCCAACCCTCGGGAGATCGCGCTTTGTGTCTCTTTTCTATTTTACAAAGCGGCGCTCCTTGCAGCCCTCGCGAAAGGTTCTGCCGTGGGGTCTCCCAGCGCAGGGCCCTTCCCCAGTTCCCTAAAGAGGAGGCTCGTTTGGTGGACCAACCCCCAGCAACGCGGGCCCAGTCCTGGCCTTTCTGCTCGTCTTCTGAGGGCCCTGCCCGCCGCCTTGGGTCCAGCCGTCGTCCAGGGGGCGGCGGTGCAGGGGAGACCGCGCGGCCTGGCCTGAGGCGCGGCCGCCCCCATCCCTTCCCCGGACCTGGGGTGGGTCCCCGGCCCACAAGCTCAGGAGGAGCCGCATCCCTGTCCCCTACGCGCTCACAAACGCCGCGGTCGCCCGAACCTTCGGCCCCGCCGCGTTCGGCTGCAGGACCGAGACACTACGGGGCCCCGGCTCTGCGCGCTGCGCTCCGGCCGCTCGGGGAGGGAGGACGCGCGGCCGCGCCTGCCTCGGTGGCCGCGCGGGGTAGGTAGCTGCGGGGACCGGAAGGATGGCGAGGAAGTCGGAGAGGGTTTCCTGAGATGAGAGATTACTTCCGTCCGGGCTGTGGCCTCTCTCTGGAGCCGGCTCGCAGGGGCTCGAGGAGCGGGGTGCGCGGGGCTCCGGGCCGCGCCTTGCCACCTGCAGTGCCCGGGCGGGCCGCGGGGGTCTTGGCGGGACGCGCTCGGCCCTGTCGCGGGGGCTAACGCGAGGGGATCCTTGCAGGTGGGAGCATTTCAGAGCGCCAAGCCATGGTGGCCAAACAGCGGATCCGGATGGCTAACGAGAAGCACAGCAAAAACATCACCCAGAGGGGGAACGTAGCCAAAACCCTGGTAAGGCGAGGTCGAACCCGGCCAGGCCCAGCCGGGCAACCGGGCAGCCGGGCGGGGTGGGGCGGGGGTGGGGGCGGGGCCGGGCCGGGCGGTAGCGGCGCAGGGTCCGGCCTCCCGGCTCCCGGCCCGCCCCTTCTGCGGGGTCCTGCAGAGTGGGGGCTGAGAGCTGGGCTCTGGGCGGCGCGGTCCACTTGTCGTCCTCATGGGCGGAGAGGGCCCTGGTTGGTCGTGGCCCCTCTGGGAGTGGCCGCCAGGGCTACCAGGGAGACATAGAGGAGCCCCCACTTCCCCCGGGAGACAGCTGGGCCTTGTCCCAGGGAAAGATGGAGCGCCTCATCCTTAGGGGCCAGTTAAGTCAACTAAATGACACAAAGCCTGGAGCCTAGTATGTTCTAGAACGTTTGTTGAATGACTGACTGACTGAATCAATGGCTAAATGGAGGTCACTTGTCATCTCCTCCTACCAGACTCCACCGGTCTTCCCTCCCCAACAGACTTGCACCAGGATCAGATTTTCTTTCCAGCCCCTTTGTGAGGGTTTCCCTGGAGATGTTGAAAGGTCTCAAAGTAGGGAGTGATATTTGGGCCCACATTCACTCCAGCCTCCTTTTTCTCTTTTACCTCTCTCTTCCAGTGAGACCTCCCTGAGTCCCTAAGCTAAAGTCTAAGGGCAGCATTGCTATTCTTCCCACTCTGTGAATTCAGACTCATTCTGATGGTGTAAGTTTAGAGACCAGTTTATGGCCAGGCTTTGGAGTCCCTAGAACTGTAAATTGAAACTTTGTAACTGGATTTTTAAGTTAAGCCTGCACCTTACACTCAGGGGTTTCTTTTAGCAAAGGAGATTATCTTCAACAGAAAATGCTAGGCCTGTGACTGGACATTCAGAGACATGAGTCGCATAGGTAGTTTGGCAAAGTTGGTCTCCAAGTGTATGAGCAAAGGCGCCTGCGATCTGTTATCCCATACAGTTAAGTGGAAATCTAGCTGAAGCTTGAAGTTTGGCTGGGAAAGCTTACAGATTTGATGAAGCAATTCCTTTTAGCCAAAAAATTATACCGGTTTGATTAAGTAAAAAGCTAGATCTGTAATCGTCACACCAAAATTCTTCCAAAACCAAGCAGTATTATGGCGGAGAAACTCTAGGATCAAACTCAACTCTACTCAGAGCTTTATACACAGCTCTAGGTTTAGTAATCCTTAAAATTCTCTCATTTAGGAATTAGATCACTTAGTTGTGATTCGGGGAGGAAAATGCCAGATGCCATCAAAGTGGAACCATTTTGTCACATCGATTTATTTTCCCTAGATATTTTTACTCAAGGAAAAAAAAAAAAAAACAAGCTGCCCAAATTGACATTGAGAAACAACTTATAATTGATGTTAGGGCATGCAGGGCTTTATACCCCTAAGAGATCAATTCTTCCTTCTCAAGGAAGAATTTCACTGCTAACTGACAGTGAAAAATAGCTAGTCATGTGGCTTTTTCTCATTAACTAAAAAACCAGAGTTCAGATGTCAGATCTCAGTGGACAACTTATCTGATGACAAAAGTAAGAAGAAAACAGGAACTAATTTGCAAGGCTGTTTTATCCATTGGGCTCTGTAGACTCAGTGTCTGCCACCTCATGTTCTTCAAGAAGACTAGAAAATATTTGGGACCCAAAACAAAAATTATTCGCTCCAAAATAAGAGAAGAAAATGGAAAATTTGGGAAAACACTGTTTAAATATCTAGAAAAGGTACCAGTCATCTACCATTCAACTCAATGTTCAGAGCTACATTTAAATTATATTTAACATACAGTATGAGTGCATTTTAACATGTTCTGATATGTCATAGGATGACTAGTGCCTTGCACCATGAGAGTTTTTGAATGGCCCGGCTAAATTTGTAATAATATGTTTCCAGACCAAGCCACAATAAATGTATGCTTTCCACTGGTTTGGGGGGGATTTTGGTTAACTTTATTGTAAATAGATCATTATCCAATAGAAAAATGAAATTTTGTTTCAAAGAGAAACTTGATAAATCCTAAATCTCATTTTCTCAATTACAAGTCAAATATGATTATACTTTGTTAAAGTAACTTGCGGAAGATCACGATTCAGGATGAAATTCATTAAATGGGAACATATGTATATATTCCAACTGAAAATTCAGACTAATTGTTCAGAAATAAACTTCTTTAATTGTATGCAGATGCTTCAGTATTTTATGATTAATCACTTAGGGATAAATTAATATTATTCCCCCAGATAGCAGACTACCCCAAGAAAGGAGGCCGGCTTGGTGGCTCATGCCTGTAATTCCAGCATGTTGGGAGGCCAAGGCGAGTGGATCACCTGAGGTCGGGAGTTAGAAACCAGCCTGGCCAACATGGTGAAACCCTGTCTCTACTAAAAATACAAAAATAGCTGGGTCTGGTGGTGGCTGCCTATAATCCCAGCTACTCAGGAGGCTGAGGCATGAGAATCGCTTGAACCCGGGAGGTGGAGGTTGTAGTCAGCCGAAATTGTGCCACCATACTCTAGCCTGGGTGACAGAGCGAAACTCCATCTAAAAAAAAAAAAAGAAAAAAAAAACAGAGAAATTGAATCATCATTTTGTGATTATACAGTAGTAACTTCTCCAGAATGAAGGGGGAGTTTAAATTTCAGAGTTCTGAGTTACCCTACCAGTATCTTAATCACAGGGAAAGCCATTCCCTGACATTTTTGGAGCCTCAAGAAGTAGCAAACTCATGTTTGGAGTAAACCATGGCATTTGCAGAGTTGCTACTACTTTTCCCCACCTTTTCCAGCCATAGAGTCAGGTTTATGTGAATTGTCATATGGGATTGTGCTGGGCACCCCTTCTAAAAAGTAGTCACCCAAGCTGTCAAAAAAAGATATGTGGGTACTATGATCAGCCAAAGTCCCCAAATAATGTTGATTCCCTGGAAAATATCATCCAAAAGGTTTTTGTGTTGTATGATTTAAGCTCTGCATGCTGATCATCTGTTTTTCTGCATATGAAAATTAAAGGACTCCATTTGGTATCTGTCCTGGGCAAATAATTCATTTACAGGCTCCTGAATTCACTTATTAGCTTTGCTGGAAATATAGATAAAATGAATTTTTTTATTAGTGGCCAAACAGCAACAGAGCTGGTTTCTGGGCAGCTGTGACAAGTTCCTGGGAAGGTAGCGGAAGAGGGTGGGGAAGGGCGAATGTCACACTTTGTTCAGGTAGCTTTATAGGTGTTGTTTACTTGATCTGAATTTGGCCTAGTCTTAAAGGCCAAAGAATGGCACAGTTATCTTATGCAATTATTTAAGACTGATTTTGTCCTCGTTTGATCAAGAGTAGCCACCGATTCCTCTGTAGCGTGACTTGCCAGCATGTAAGTGGTAGTAGATACAGGTGTAGTGAAGGACAGAGAAGTGAATGTCTTAATCCTTAGTCAAAGTCTACCTGCCACTGACACTTTAACTCATATTTCTCATGTAGGAGAGATACAGGGACAATCTTACACCAATTAGGAAGTATTAATAAAAAGACAATATCCTTCCTAGAACCTGTGTTTACTCTGTATAACCTAAGAAATCATATGTAATGAAACTTGTATGTTTATTTGTTCTTCAATGAACGTTTATTATCTCCTGTGTTTAAGCTCTGTGCCAGGCATTTCTATACATTGGTACATGAGCAAGACATATTCCCTGCCCTTGTGGGGTCTACAGTCTCATAGAGAGACAGATATTAAACACATTATCACAGGAATAAATATAGACCTACAAACTGTGACAGATGCTATCAAGAAAAAGTACATGGCCATACAAGTGACAAGTGGACCCAAGTGAAGTCAAAGAGGAGGGAGCTTTGGTAAGCTGAAAACTAAAGAAGAACTGTTGTCTTATCTATGATTCCTTTTTTAGATGAGAAGCCAATTTTTATTTACATGAGCCTAGAACTTAATTTTACATATAAATACATCATAGGTTTTGCAGTTTTAATTTATGATACATTTTTCTAGGAAAGCAGCTACAGTGAAAATCAAGGGAAGATTATCCTTTTTAAAGAAGTTTTTGTTAGAAACATTACTAAAACTTGTTCAACAATTCAAAAACTTACATCCTTGATTATAGAACCACTTGTGTGGTTTTTTTTTGAAACATTATTACATACCTTTGCTCTGAATGTCAAGCTGTCTTATTTGTATGGATATGAACATATTTTTTAGCCCATATTTTACAATGTTGAATATAATTTTTAAATGTCAACAACATTTAATTGAAATCTGGAATTGGGTTTTGTGATTTCAACCACAATCAATATTTGTGAACATTCCACCCTACCAACATGTTTTTCTTTGTGTGTGTTGCATGTGAATTTTTTTAACTTACATTGAATGCAGCCTACTTTTCAAATGAATCAGAAAATAATTAGAGTTCTTTGGGTTTTTTTTTTTTCACTCTCCTTTTCTATTTGAGAAATTCACTTCTTTTCTGTTGCATCTCTCAGAAAAAAATTGTTGTTCTGATTGATTTGGGTTTAAGGACCAAGCCCTACCTGCACTACCTAGAGGTGTTATGGAGGGAAGATTTTATTATGTTTGTGCTTTTGGTCTGAAAAGAGCAGGAGGTCTGTAGGGCTTTATTCACACAGGTTTGAGAGTTCCCTTCTGCTTCCCATAGAATTCAGAGACCTCTCCCAAGTGCAAGCTTCATTAAGGCTTAGGAGCTTTATTATAAAATTGCTGCTTCGCTTGTAACGATTCACAATTGCTGTGGTGCTTCTATTGTTCTAAGGATTTCCACTGTACTGACTTCCTAATTTAGGGGTATATAAAAGGTCTTGAAAAAATATCTGTGCTCTCTGATCTTGCTTGGAATTCACAGATGCAGAAACAAAATATTGAATCTATTAATGGAAAACACCCAGGCTTTGTAATGAGGCAGACCTAAATTTGAATCCCAGCTCCTGCTCAAGTTAACAAAGTTTGAGCTTCAGTTTCTCAACTCCAAAATGGGAATAATAATACTTGCCAGAAATAATGAATGCAGACTGCCTAGTATTGTGCCTGGCACAGAGCATACCTTCAACAGATGGAAAGTTATTATTAATATCATTTTGGTCCCTAAATCACCATACTGGTTTATGTATTCACACCATCTCTGTCCCCAGAATATTAGAGACCACCAAGTTCACTGAGTTACAGCGATGTTAATAAGGTTATTGATGAATTTTTACAAACCTATCTCAATCCTCTTAATGGACTTTATTCATCTATAAATAGGGATTGAGACCAAGTCTGTCCCATTCACAGTAGAATCCCCAGCACCTAGCACAATGCCTAGCGATACTCAAAAAAATGTTTACTGAATCAATGGATCTAATCTTTCTTTTTCCCATTCCCTTTTAGAGGCCGCAAGAGGAGAAATATCCTGTGGGACCATGGCTGTTGGCACTGTTTGTTTTTGTTGTCTGTGGCTCAGGTATGGGTGTTTCACTGAACTTACATCCCATGTTCTCCACTGGACTTTGAAAAACACACATTTTCTTCACAAAGTAAATAGATGAAAAACAGATTGGTCTGGGATTCAAGTTTACCACTACCTTGAGCCTTAATCTTAATGGCTTTTGATTTAGTTTCTATTCCAAATATAGGTAGAGACAGAATTGATACACTATCAAATCCTAATCATAAAATGATTAACTGAGTACTTAATGTGGCTATATACACTGTAAAGCTCAGTGAAGCCTTTCTTTGCAGACATAACCTTATAAGGGCATTAGAACAGAAGGTGAAACACCTGTCTGCCTGTGATAAACCCACATTCCAGAGAAAGGGAGAGGCCTTATGCCTTATAAGAAGGTTCTGCAGAACTCCTAGATACAGCTGAGCCTTTGACCCAAGCCTTAAGGTATGGGTCACCCGATACTGTAAGGTGGCAAGTTGAGAGCTTTACTTACACACATGTGGATACACACGTACACACACACACAGGGAAGATGAGCAGAAGCATTGTGCCATTGTTTCTAGTTACATGCTGAACTATCCTTGACGTGGTTCCTGGTCCCCATATGTTGGGTCTCGGAAATCCTTGTGAGTGGAGGTCACTTCTTCTAACTACACAGCATGCCGTTAGGGATTCCCACCCTCCATCATCTCACTGTTGCTGAGGGCAGGAAGGCAGGATTTCCACATCTTTCTGCTCAGGCTTAGGCCTCCCAGCAAGACAGCCTCTGCCCCAATGACAAGAGAAGTCCATGACTAAAGATGGGTCATGCATTCAAACAGAAAATCATGAAAATTTTTTAAAAAGCATTTTTAAGATGGATCAGTTCCTTTTACCTTCAAGAGACCACTCTTCCAAAGAAGCAAAAACTCTTAGAAGGAGGGATCCAAAGTAATTGGCATTATTGTTGCTTGTGGTTCAAATATTTTAAAGATGATTTGACATTCCAAGATGAGAAAAATCTTCCACCCAAAGAAACACAGTTCTACTCTATTCCCAAAGAAATATCCTTTAGGACATCTTTTAAACAACTGTTTACTCAATCTCTGTTTGAATACTTCTGAGGATGGGGTGCTCACTTCTTCAAAAAGCCTATTCCATTTCCGTATAGTTGGAATTCTATTAGAAATGCCCCTCCTCCTAAGGATAACACAGAATGGACTCTTTCTCCTCTAAACACCTTGAATCATCAGATATTTTAAAGATGACTGCCTGGTGACTCCTTCTGCAAACTGAGCTTCCCTAGTTCTCTCCACCTTGCCTCCTAAGACGTGGTTTCTAGACTCCTCTTCTGGATCTGCTCAATGACTTTCTTAAAGTATAGCATTTGGTGGTGCATGCCTATAATCCCAGCTACTCAGGAGACTGAGGCAGGAGAATCGCTTGAACCTGGGAGGCGGAAGTTGCAGTGAGCCGAGATCGCGCCATTGCACTCCATCCTGGGCAACGAGAGTGAAAATCCTTCTCAAAAAAAAAAAAAAAAGTATAGCATTTGCAACTGCAGAAAGTGGTCTAGAAGCAGTGTGATCATCACAGAGGCAGTTAGAGGCAGTAGGATTGTCACTGCCCTTGATTTTGCTCGCTCACCACTCTGCCTCTATTAATATGACCCAGGCTTGCAGTTACTTTTTAACAGTTGCGGCACATCCTTGACTCGTGTCTAGCTGATGGCCAGCAAGGTGCCACCCAGCTCTTCCTCACATAAACTTCCTGCAAGCCTCAGAGACACATCTACATACCCCTTTGCCTCAAATTATCTCCTGTCTCTATCACACATTATTTTATTTTACTTAGGGCCCTCATCAGCAGTTGCAGTTATTTACTTTCTTATGTTCATTCCCTCCAGCAGGATATAAGCTCAGGGGAGGCAGTGTTTATTTTCCATTAAATGTGTAGATCCTAGCTTAGTATTTAGCATATAGTTAGTGCTCAGGATGGATGGATGGATGGATGGATGGATGCAGCTAGATATTTCTCATACTGTAGATATCTGGTTGGCCTTTTTTGAGACCTAATATAAAACTTTATGACATTTCTTTTTTTATTCTCAAAGCAGAATGGTTACTTTTATTAAAATTTTATTATTGGTTGTCATTTATCTTTTTATGTAATGTCCATAAAGTTCAGAAACATAGATGAACATGTACAATAAATGGCTTACTGATATCACATTATAATATACAATATGGTCAGTGACATTACATGATATATTCATGTATTGTCCTTCATTAGTAATGCATAAGTCCAAGCACTGTGCAAAATTGCAATGAATATGACACATTAATGCAGCATTTCCATCAGTACCTACATATTCATCTGTGATGCCTCAGATAATCTGTCTCTGATTTTCAACCAAGAACAAAATAAAAACAAACAAACAAATAAAACTGTGCCTTTAGCATGCCACAGGAAAATCCAGATAATAAACCTGCACAAAAAAGTTAGCTATGTTTTCAGGGTGTATGACCAGTCTGTAGATTGTCAGATCTTGAACTTTGAGCCTCTGATCTACTTACCCTTTTTTTCCAGCGTTATGGTCTCTGAAAGTATATTATTCTTCCAAGTCACTGGTAAAAGTCCAGACTTGAAGAAACCCACAGAACACAATTAGAGACAACCTCTTTCAGGTTGACTTTGAACCTCTAAGCAAAACTCATTGAGACGATCATTGTGTCTTGAGGGTCCCCTCTGTGTCTGGCACTGTGCCGGGCTTTGGAAATACAATCCTGTTTGGGTGCTTGCAGGCATTGGGAGAAGCAGATAAGGAAGCTGTCAGTTGTAGCCCAGGGGAAGCATGCTGCGATAGTGACAGCAGAATGTACAGGGTGCTTGGCCAGCATCGATAAGGAACTTCTAAATCATCCTCCGCAGAAGAGAAAGTTTCCAAGTGGGGGTGCTGTTTGAGCGGAGCCTTGAAGAACAAACAGCCAGACCAAGGGTGCGATGAAGGTGACTCTGCATGGGAGCACTATGTGGCGGTGGCAGGGTGGCTTCAGAGAGTGTGCTGGGCTCAAGAATATAAGGTGCTCAGAATGGCCAAAGCCTAATCTCAGGCATCTCTGAGCCCAGTGACCATGCCACCTGTATTGCCAAGGGTCTAAGTAGATAAAGATATATCTAGGCTTCAAGTCACACAATAACTGTGGTTTTCTCCAATCTACCCCGCTGGGCAGCCTATAAGCAAAAAAGCCAGTAGGGTCATTGGCCTAGCTTATTTTTCTCAAATCCATGCCAACTCTCAAAATCCTTCTCTTCCTTTTTGAAGGGCTTAAAAAACCATCATATGACCTAAACTTTTGCCTGGCTTACCAGCCCATACCGCAGGACCTGTGTCTTTCCCTCTTGGGTAAATTGAGACATTTGCTAACAAGCATCTTTTGGAACTCTCCGGACTCCAGTGGTGTCCCAGGGATTAAGTGTGGTAGCTCCGCCTCTCTGGAGGCTTGTGCAGAGCCATGGGATATGAGCCTGCAGAGCCTGGAGATCTGAATGAAAGGGCCTGAGAGGACCCACTCTTATTGCCGTACCATAGCCCCTGCCCTTAGTGCCCAGGGATGTTTTAATGATGCCGATTTAAAACTTTCTAGTGATAAAGCCATTTTGCTTTTATGTAGAGGTTAGACATGGAACACGAGTTGAGCCGTCTTACTTTCTCTGTCCTCTGTTAACGTGCCATCATGATCCCTAAGCAATGGGCCTCATCCCTCTTTTAATCACAACTAAAAATAATTCACCACCACCCGTTTTTTTCTTGCCAACTTTAGCAATTGTTTTGCAAGCCTCAGCTCAAGTCAGGCACAGTTCTCACAGAAATGTGTCACTCTTCTCAGCTTGTCCTTGGTACTGTGCCCTTCCTTCTATCTTTGTACACGTTCTTTTCTAAACAGAACATGTCATGGGAAACAATAGCTCCTTTAGCCCCGTCCCTGTTGCCACCTCTCTGGGATTAGTCACGATTCATTTCATCTTGCAGAGCCGACTATTCCCTCGAGTGTCTCCCTTTTTAGGGTCACAGGCCATGAGTGCCTACTCACCTTTTCTCTACATGTAAAAGAATATGCAGTCCTCAAGCCTAGCCCCATTTGTCAGCTGCTTTGCTTTAGATAATGAGTTTTCTGGTAGGTGCTCGGATAGTTGAGGTCCTCGTCGGTGGTCTGTCTCACCGCTGTTCCAGCTTTGCAATCTGAAATAGGAAAATCCTCTACATCTCACATCTGCCTGGCTGTCTGCAGCATGCACACCTGTACCCACACACCTGCCCTGTCCTGCAACACTCAGGCCAAATGCACTGGAGTGTCTTGTAGGGTCTCCACACCTCTGCAGACAGATGGACCCTTTTCCTGTTCCTTTCTATTAGCTCTCCTTTAAACAAGATACACCCCTATGCCAGGCTCAAGTTCCATTTCACCAAGTTCCAGTGGGACCTTGGAGGTCATATGGCCTTTCTTTGCATTCATGTGGTTGGTTACTCTTACTTTGTGTGTTTTTATACAGATGCTAAAGAAAAACGTGCATAATCTTCTAATATTAATAAAGATGTTGATCATTGATGGGAATCTCTTGAAAGTCTCACTTGCTTTCATTACCTCACTCTATTAACCCACTTTTCTCCTTGATGATTGGTTGGGCGAAGTGCTCTTTTTAGAAATAGTGCCAGTGTACCTAGGGTAAATAAATATTGAGGTCAGGCAGACAGTAACGAATGCACATTTTATCTGTTTTTCTGGCCGTCTTCTGGGAAAGGGTTAGAACTGGTTAAAAAAAAAAAAAAGTTGCCATTTCTATGCTCACTTATTAGTCACCGTTTCTCCATTTTATGTGAAAAAACAGGTTAACAAGCCTGTAAAAAGCTACAGGACCCCTTTCTTATAGGGAGGCATGGGTCCCTGCCATCACTTGCCTCCTGTTTCTCAGCTTCTCTCCTGTGGCTTCCTCCTCCTCTACATGGGCCTTTCATGCCTGCCATCCTGACAAGAGTAAGATAGTAACAAGGAAGGAATGAGGACTGGAGAGTAGTGGGAGGACTCAGTCCAGGCACCCAGAGACCCCTGGCATAAACACACACCCAGGGAGTGCCACCCCTTACTGGGAAGCCAGATAGTAGCAATTGACCTCCCGGGGCTGCCCCACGCCCCCCAGATCCAAGCGCAGCCCAGCCCTGTTCTTTCTTAGGCACTTGGTGGTAATCTCTAATACATTGCCCTGGAGAAAGGGAGTTTGGGGAGGTTATCTAAATACACACTCTTCAGAATAAGCGAATTTCTACTTTGCATGATTGCAAAAGTTCTCTTAGGCAACGGACTGCTTTGAAAACTGACCAACTGGCACTCATAGAACAGGAGGCCTCCAAGGGGAGGATAGTTTTAGAATCTGCCAGATGTCAGTTCAGAGCCTAGATTCACTTTTGTCAGCTGAATGACCTTGGACAAGGTATTTACTCTTGGTATTGATTCCCTTATCAAGAAAATGGAGACAATGAGCAGCCCTCCCAAGATGTCCTGGCATTGAGGACACCTTGGCTCTAGGGATCTAAGTGCAGGCCCACAGCAAGCTCAAAGCCTGCAGCTACCGTCACCACCACCTGTGTCCTTATAGCCCTCATGGGGAACAGTGGCACCACGGGACTATCGGTTTACTGTGGGACACTTCAACTTCCACGCGCCTTTCACCCTTCCAGGCTGCACATTCAGTTGCACACTCAGCCTCTCACATTGGTCTTAATCTGTCAGCAAGCCATGGGCCCTGCCTCTTCACTCCAAGGATGAGTGGGAGCGACATAAGTGGTAACACTTCAGGTGCATGAGACTGTTTTCCACATGATAAAGCATCAAGTCTTCCCCACACAGGGAGAAGGATCACCAACCTGCAGACCACAATCAATGAACAGCAGTTAGTCCTTTAAGTTGAATATCAGGAAAAAAAAATGTGAGTTTCATTTCCTTAAGGCAACTGCAATCCACCAGTCTTTTGCTGTAGAAGTTATCTTTATGAGATACAAAAGCTTTGGGAACAGTATATGCTTCTGGGACATGCTATTATCCAATTAGAACATCTCAGGGCTGTATCCTGTTTCATTTTGTTTAATTTGATAACCAGCTTTTTTGTTTTGTTTTGTTTTGTTTTTTAGACAGAGTCTCAGTGTTGCCCAGGCTGGAGTGCAGTGGTGCCATTTCAGCTCACTGCAGCCTCCGCCTCCCGGGTTTAAGCGATTCTCCTGTCTCAGTCTCCCGAGTAGCTGGGATTACAGGCATGTGCCACCACACCCAGCTAATTTCTGTATTTTTAGTAGAGACAGGGTTTCACCCTGTTGTCGAGGCTGGTCTCAAACCCCTGGCTTCAAGTGATTCGCCCTTTTCGGCCTCCCAAAGTGCTGGGATTACAGGCATGAGCCACCGTACCCAGACAGCCTTATGAATATATAGATTATGTAAGAAATCAAAAAACTCATTTCTTAATCAATACCTGTTATGGATCTGCTCAGATTATTATCCCAAATAGGCCAGAAACGTCTTGTCAAACCTGAGCCTGGGATTGTTTTGCTGGAGCCTGTTTAAATGGTTGGATTTGTCTCTACTTTGATCTCCTAGGATCCAGATCCACATCTGAGGCTAAAGGATCTCAGTGCCCTCATAAGAGACTTTGCCCTTTTTTTCTCTCCTCTTTTAATAAAAGCATTATCTTCTATTTCTGCAGGCAGTGGGGCCTCTTTCCAGATAAGCAGCTCATCCTGGCTCTGCCAGTCCCAGGTTTTGAAACCTGCCTCTTTGGAGAGTTGTTTGAAAGCTTCCGAAGAATGCTTGCTTTTATCTCAAGACTCAGAGGCGAGCCTTAGCTGGAATGTCTGTCTAAGACTGTTCCCCACAAAGATACTGTCACACAGATAGGTCCACTGCTATCTTCTCAAGGCGCTTGCAGACTTGACATGCTTCCTCAGCCCATTCATGGACCTAGTCACTGCTGTTTGTGTCCAGAGCCCTCGCCCCGGGTGTTTTCTTTCCCTTTTTTCCCCAGCTCTTGTATGAGCCTTACTGAGAAGGACTCTCAGGCTATACCTGCACTGAGTGGGAAAGTGGGCTGCAGTCGATTGGTAATGTCTGTCCTGAACACAGTATGGCTGGCAGGGCCACGTCCTCATCTTTGCTATCCTTAGCCTAAACTTTTTATAAGGTGATTGCTCCAGTATTCACAAGACAGCTGTCTTCAGCATTCCAGCTTTCCTCTTTGGCCAGAATGCCTCCTGGGCTTGGTGAAATGAGCACTTTTCCTTAATATGCTACCCGTTCTGACAATTTTGTTTAGAGTCAGCCTATACATGTTTCTTGTATTATTTACCTTTTCTGAGCTCTGGGTGCAATACTCTACATTGACAGGATGCAGCAATCTGAGACGGCACTCCTTGCAATGTGCTTGTATTTCTCTGTGTCCTAATGCCTCAATGATAGTTTCAAGCAGCATCAATGGAGTCACCATCTAATTCCCAACATCCTTTGACTCTCAGAGGGAAACTCTTAAATACCAGCCATGTCCCAGTTCCCTCCCTCAGACTAGTTCTCCCTCATGTATTCCTAATTTCAATTTTATTTCTCTTTCACTGGCCAACCCTGATATTCATTTCCTAATTAGAGATTATGAGAATTTTAATGGTGACCAAAGCCTGGCTATTCTTGAAACTGACAAACATTTATCCCCCATCAAAGGGAAATCTCTAGAGTAACAGGATTAGCTAGTGACTGTTATTTTCCTCACTGTTTCCTGTAGTTTCCAAGTTTGTCAAAGAGCATACATTACTTTTATAATCAGAAAAAAATGTTTTTTTAAAAAAAATCTAGACTATTGGTTTTCAGTCTTTTTTTAAAGCAGCAGAACTTTGTTAAAATCTTAGAGGGAAACAAATGAAAGAGCAGCTGTTCTGGTTGAAGTGAAGCTTGTGCGTGTATGTTTCTGTTTGCATTTGCGTGTGTGTTTGTATACATGGGTTTTTTGTGTGTTTATGTTTCCATGTGTGTATTTGTGAATGTGTATGTATGTGTTAGTGTGTTCATATGTGTGTATGTATATGCATGTATATGCATGCGTGTTTGTGTGTGTGTGTGTGTGTGTGTGTGTGTGTGTATACAGCATACCTCCCTATGTTGCTGGATATTATGACTTTCTCATCCCCAGAAGGGAGCACACATCTGGACCCTCTTTGCCCATCAAATAGGAAATTGTGCCTGGCCCCAGAACTGGCCTCTCATACTGCAGAGTTAATGCCTTTCAACAAAGAGCCTGTGAGGTTTCTCAGGCACCATCCATTGGGAGTCACTCTGCCGTTTCTGGGCAGGGAAATTTCTTTCCTCTGTCAGTTAATAGGCTGTACTTTCCTCCTCATTCTCCAGGGCCTCTGCCTGCTGTGGGGTGATGTGTGGGGGAGAGAGATCATGTCACAGACAGGTCCTTTTTTAGGACAGCCTCTTCAGAACAGATGTGAAGAAGTGATTCTCTAAGATGTCGTTGGCAGAGCCTGAATTCTCCCGTTCTCCCAGCCTTGTGTTTTCGATGGCCCAGCTTTCTCCCTGTATGAATGTGCTGGAGGCCTCTCCATTTCTGGAAAGGCCACACCCAAACTTTCCCCAGGACTGGCTCTTCTGTTAAGGATGGTGTGGAAGAAGCAAAGTACAAGTCACACACATGTCAGGGACATACGGGAAGCTAAAGAGCCACTCTTTTCGCTGCCCTCTGCCCACTCCCTATGTGGCCACCAGTTTTGTGGCAAACTGTCTTTGAGCCCAAAGGTTGAGGAGCCTTCAGAATGGAGCCTTTTGCAACAACTAAGAAATGTTGCTTTGTGAACTGTTAGCTGCTCTCTGAAATCTTTCAGGAACACAAAATTTGAGGAAGATCTGTATTTTGGGGTGTATCGGGTGAAAGCTACCACATTCTCATGTGCACATTCCAGGGGGGAAAATTACATGGTTGCTAAGAGCTGCAACTTCAGGGCCAGACTTTGTGGATTTGAAGCCATCTACTAGCTGTGTAGCCTTGTCTAAGATACTTATACCCACCTGAAGCCTAAGCTCTTCCATTCCTAAAAGAGGATGGTACTGGTTCCTAACTCCTGGGACCCTCAGGATTATTCATCCCGAGGACTAACTGAGAAAATACATGTGGAATGTCCAGTGGAATCACAGTATTGGCTTTATAAGTGTTTGCTGTTCTTGTAATTATGTTTACGGTTTTGCTCACACTGCCTTCCCTCCTCTCCACCTCCCTGGGAAGGTCCTCACCAAAGCTCTGAATGCCTACGAGGGAAGAAATAAAATTTTTCCCATTTTGGCAGCTTTGCTTTGTAATGGTGAGAAGACTTATAGTGGGTGAGCGCTGCACTGAGATATTTCGGAACCTGCCTGAGCCGAGACCAGCGCCCCGCCCCGGGATAGGTAGAGGATATGGTTTGTAAACCACAGAATCAGTGGGGTCACCTCTGCAGGGATAGCTGGAATTTCTCTATGTCTGGAAAGAATTCTCTATAAACTAGCCTGTGGGGGTGAGCAAGATCTATTTGTACAACTATTTTGGCTACCGTTTCTTGAGGACTGACTTCTTGTAGTGCCAGACCCTACACATACATCTTCTCTGTCACACAGTCTCTGCAAAGATGCTGTTACACTTACTTTTCCAGATCATGAAACTGAGGCTCATAGAGGAAATTGGCCAATGTCCCATAGCTAAAAAGTGAGAGAACTAGTCCCCAAACCTAGTTCTCTCAGACTTTAAAACCTATCTGTTTTCCATTACTCTGCGTTCCCTCTCTCTTACCGTTTCCCTAAAAGTTCTATGGAGCAAAAGTTTTCCACCAATTTAGGCCTTTAGCATATGACTATGTGTTTAAAAACTTCTGCTAAAACATCCCCTGTTTTTCCTGCCAGAAAAGGTGTGTTTTCCAGAGGTTCCTGATGTGCAGCCATCCTGGGACTTGCTCCCAGATGGAGACAGACTTGACCCAGCCACAGACTGCTTCTTGGTTGGGCCACCAGTGCCCCCACTCACTCCCCTGGACACTTGCTCCAGAACAGACTTGAATTCACCATATTTGCAGGTCAACCACATAAACTGGCCTTTCCTGGAGATTGCCAGAACTTTCTCAAAACTGTGACATCCAGAGGGAGTCACCCCCCAAGACCAGCAAGTGGAATGTTTGTGGAACTGGCCAGACCTGGAGGAAAGACTAAGGCCATTCATCTGCCCTGGAGTTCCATCCTCGGGATCTGAGATGCACAGCCTGGAGAAGACATGTCATCAGATCATCACTCCCTCAAGGTGACCTATGGCATCCCTTGTGCCCTGGGGGCATTTGGGATTGTGTAGAGGTTCTCTCAAAGCAAGTTTCTGATAGAACGCTTTACATTCTTTGCTAATAACATCTGGGTTTTAACAGCGCCTTGTTGCCCTCGCCTGTCTTGGGCATCTCTCTTTTTTCCCTCTTCTCCATCTCTAGAGAAGCCACCAGAAAATGGTATCGTACTTTTGACTCCCTTTGTGCTGATTCTTTTAGAGAATTTAATGATCTGCCTTGCAATGTCTTGTCTCCTGACATTTCAGCGTGTTTCTCAGAGGGCCCCCACTTCGCTTTCTATCAGCTCTTTGATCATTTTCGTTTTCTTTAATGAAAAATAATCAAAATTATATGATTTCTAGGTTGTCTTCTTCTCCTAAAGGATATCTTCCTTCTGGTCTCTCTTAATCTCTCTTCTCAGCAACTCCTTTTATCTCTTTTATCATCAATTTATTGTCAATAAAAGTGGCTTTAGGAAGCCTCCTGTTGGCTGACAAGGTTCCAGCTTTCTGACACTTTCTTATGGGACGCACTTGTTATGTCATCCCTGTGTCCTTCTGGCACTCCCTCTTAACTGCGGAGGGTCAGTCTCCAGGGTGAGAGTGGATTGGGGTGGCCCCTTCTCAGGCCTTTAGGAGCTTATGGTCTTGTACTTCCCCTTCAAAGACTGAGCTTTAGAGACATTTGGATCTAAAGGCAGCCATTTGATGCTGACTCTTTTGGTTTGCAAAGTAATCATTTGAGGTTTTTAAAAATGTATTTTCCTCTGTGCTCTTTGCAATCATTCGCCTTTCAGTAATTCAGTCACATTTACAGAGGATCTACTTTGTGCCATACCTGGTCCTGTTATCCTGGAGTTTATAGTCTAATGGCAAAGAAAGATGAGTTAATCAAGTCATCACACCAAAACACTTTCAATTCAGCCATGAAACTGGACAATTTCAGCCATGAAACTGTTTAAAGGAGAGGCACATGGGGCCATGAAAGCACATAATGCAAAGGGCTGGTGTTCTCAAAGTGTGGTCACTGGACCAGCGTCTCAGCATCCCCTGTGAACTTGTTAGAAACACAGATTCTCAGTCCCTTATCCCAGACCCAGTAGATTAGAATCTCCAGGGTACGGGGGAAGGTGTCCAGCATTTGTGTTTTAACCTGTCACCACAAGACTGTGATGCATGCTCAAGTCCGAGAGCCTCTGCTCCAGGTGATCAAAGACGGCTTCTCTGAAGATGTTAACTTTTGGGTGATGAAGGAAACTAGGGAATAGGGTAGGATTGAAGTATTTCAGGCAGAAAGAGTGGCATGTGTAAAAGCCATGTGGTGAGAGCATGGAGCTTTGGAAAACATGAGGGAGCACCCAAGCAAGGAGAAGAGTGATATAAGGTGAGTCTGACAAGTGGACAGGGGCCAGGAGTGCAGGTCATGGTGGACTCATCAGGGATTGGGCAATGGGAAGCTTTTGATGTGCAGCAAACACAGGAGTGACAATATATTACTTGTTTATGTTGAAAGGATAATTCTAGCTACAATATGGAGAATGGATGGAAGAAGAGCAAGAGTAGAGCAGTGGGAGGGCCTCATTGGGGTCTGGGGGAGGATGATGATAACTTGGACTAGGGTGGCTTCTGAGGAATGTAAAGAAGGGTGCATAATCACAAGATTTCCAGGTAAAATCCACAGGTCTTGGTTATCCATTGGAGGTGTCAGGGAGGACTGTGGTATTTTGCGTCTACATGCAAGATGGTAGATAATTATGCCAGTTTTAGCAATGGGACAAGATCATGAGAAGGTCCTGTTGAGTCCGAGGTACCTCTGAGCCACCCAGGTGTAGATATCAACTAGATGGTAGAAGGCGTGCTGGAGCTCAGAGAAGTCAGGGCTGGAGATACACGTCTGTGCATCATTAACAGCTAGGTGGCAATTCAGACTGTGGGTCAGGAGGCATCGCCTAAGGAGAAGGAATGTAACGAGAAAAAAGGCTGCAGCGATGCTCATTGCAGAATGTCAACACCTGTGTTTAATGATCAAGTGGATTGCTTCCTCGAAAGTAAGCTTAGAGGAAAGAGCCAAGAGAAGGAGGAAAACTAGAACCTAGAAGATCATGGTTTCACAGAGGCCAAGGGAAGAGAGCTTCCAGGAGCAAGTGCCCAGCGGGGGCGAGTCGGGGTAAGGCAAGAGAAGGTGGAAGAACACCTGTTACACTAAGTGACTCAAAGGTCGTTTGTGACTTTAGCAAAAGACAGTCCATGGAGGGAAGAGAGCAGAAGCTAGAATGAGGTGGATTGAGGTGAGAATAGCAGGTAAGGGAGGGCAGAAAGTGAGCGTAGACAGCTCTTCAGAAATGGTTGTGAAGAGGAAGAGAGGGCCCCATCAATGGGGATGTGCACTCAGGCAGGTAGCTCTGCTTTGTTTGATTTCGCAGTGGGAGTGCTCCTGGCATGTTAAAGCCTAAGGACCTCTTTGAAAAGGGGAGGTTGAAAAAAGAGAAATGGGATCATCTAAGGTTACCAAGGGCCAAGTAACAGGTAGGAGGATGCAGAGGCTTCATGGGTCTGGTAGCTCCTGCTCTCACCTGGACTTTTCTGAACCTCTGTGACCTGCCCACGCCCTGATCGCCTGCCCTGGAATGCCTGCCGTCCCTCCCTTTCTTGGCATCTCTCCTTCCTGCTGTCTCGCCTGCCCACGGTTCCTCTCCTGCAGCCTCCTCTGCTGTTTTCTCAGCTTTGTTCACCCACTGTTAAGTTATTAACTTGTCAGGGTCTAGACTCCCCGCTTCCTTTCCCTCTTTTGAACTCACTGCTGGCTCCTTTCCCGTTTGCCACCTCGGAAAGTCAGCATTTGGAAGGCCGAGGTTACTCTCCAGGTCAGTATTGGCAGGCACACAGAATTACAGTTAATATAATTAGCATAAGATGTGTAAGTTTTCTAAAAGACATTGATACAACTGAAAAAAATAATAAACACAACCATCTCTCTATTATCTTGTGGAGGTAAATGGTGAACTTAAAAATAGACTTTATTCAAAGTAGTGTCTCACAGAAGGTTCATCTGTGAACATGTTAAGGACCATTGGACTCTTACATGTTAATTCATGGATTCAATTATGATCAGAAATGATCCTCAGTTTTTAAAGCAAACTCAAAGAACTATGTAAGTTGGGTTTTTTTGGGTTTTTAGGCTTTTTTTGTTGTTGTTTTTTGAGATGGAGTTTTGCTTTTGTTGCCCAGGCCGGAGTGCAGTGGCGCTATCTCGGCTCACCAAAACCTCTGCCTCCTAGGTTCAAGCGATTCACCTGCCTCAGCCTCCCGAGTAGCTGGGTTTATAGGCATGTACCACCATGCCCGGCTAATTTTGTATTTTTAGTAGAGATGGGGTTTCTCCATGTTGGTCAGGTTGGTCTCGAACTCCTGACCTCAGGTGATCTGCCCCCCTCAGCCTCCCAAAGTGCTGGGATTACAGGTCTGAGCCACCGCGCCTGGCCAGGTAAGTTGTTTTAATGTAAGTGTTGCTGTTCTGAGACATGCAAACTATGTCTTAGATTCTTTAGAGAGATTTGTAACAGTTCCTTAAAAAGAACTGCATGATTTCTTATCATTACCTAGAACTTTTGAAGTCATGAATTAACTTAATATGGGTGGTACATGGACTAAGACACAGATGGTTTCCTATCTGTTGACTTACACCCTGCTGACAATTTTTTGTCTAAGGGCAAGAGTAAGTGAAAAGTAATATTTTTGAGCATATACTTATGTCATCGTATTTATTCCTCGCCATCCTTTGAGGTACTTCTTATCCACAGTTTTACAGGTAGAGAAAAGCAGGGCTCAGAGCTGTGTAGTAATTTCCCAAAGTTCACAGCTTTGTGGGTGGCAGATAGTGCTGAGCGCTGGTCCGCATGCTCGGATGTGGGGAGGCAGCAGTTGCTGTAGTAACAGTGATGATAGCAGTGGTCGGCAGGCATGGAGTCCCCTATGTGTGGGGACCCTTCCTATATGTCATATGTTTTAATCCCTATGAAAGCCCTGCAAGGGGCATCATCCTTATTTTACAGAACAGGAAGCAGCCTCAAAGAGGTTAATTATTTGTCCAGTCACACAGCTCTTCAGCAAAGAGCAGATATTCAACCCAATTTGATCTGATCCTAACTTTCTGCTCTAAAGTCAACTTTTTGTCAAGATTTGTGATAGTTCCCTGACCCCAAGAACAAGAGGCATGATAGATGTAAATTTTTTTTTCCTAATGCTGAATATACAGCTGCCTCCTGGCATTCCTATTGAGCCAGAACACAGAATGTTTATTTCATTTTTACACCTTGTCAGCCTTGGTGGTGAGGAAAGGAACATCAGATATTTTTGCAAGCTTATCAATTGTTGTAGGGTACTTTCTCTTCCATCTAGCAACTGCCCTGTCAGGACCCACCCAGGAACCCAAACTGAGCTAAGAAAACATCTGAGGACATCCAGAATTAAATATCACAAGTTGTTGAACCAGCGCCTTCACCGTATCCACAGATAGTCCCTGACACTCATATGGAGCCAACTGACTCTGATTTGACACATAATTCTAACAGCTTCTGTTTGCAGCTTAGTCTACAGCAGAAAAATAATAGCAGAGGGCCCACTGCAGACTGATGTAGTAATACCAGAGATGTGGCCAGAGATGAGCAGAAAGAAACCCAGAAAATGATCAGAAGCAGAAACGAGAGCCCGGAAGTGCAGCCTACCAGAAGCCTTTCAGTGTCAGCTCAAACGCAGCCTCCTCCGAAGCCAGATCACAGCACCGCCTCATCAATTACTGGTTTTCATTATGGTGACACTGAACGCTCATGAAAAGTTAGCATTGAAATACGTTAGTATTTCCAATTTAGAAAGGTAGTGATGATGGGTACAGTGTTTTTTAGGAGGAAAAAGGCCAAAAAATGCATTCATGTTTGTCTACCCTTAAAACCCAGCTGTCCAAGAACAATTTTCCAAGGTTCTGTGCATCATGACTCTTTGTGTCCTCGCAGCGCAGTGTCTCACACATAGGATGTGCTCACTGATGCCAGGTGATGAAACGCTCAATGCCTTGTGTCCTAGGGGTCTGGATAACTCTGTTTTATTGTGGGTCCTGAATGTATTCCAGGATGACTTTATGAAGGCGAGAAGATATAAGACCCCTGAGAGCTCACTGTTTATTCTGTGTTTACACATGGTTAGATGAGATGATACCCACCTTCCTTCAAAAAAAAAAAAAAATTCAGTACATGGTAGTTACTCTAATCATTACCATTATTTTTGTCAACACTGACCAAGGTTGCTCACTGGAAAAGATGTGAAAAAGAAGTTAGGATCTTCCTCTCCTGGGACACATTTGAAAGCCAAGAGCTGGAACCAGGCTGAAGCTATCTAACCAGCTCTAATCCACATGGGCAAGGGCCCCAGGATTCTCTGTGGGTTTACAGGCTACCTACCCCCTTGACAACCCCAGTTATTAAAGACTGAGCCCTGAATA